TTTTTCTGAGCTTTTTTTTTTTTTTTTTTTCCTTTTTGTCTTTTTTACTGACTGGTAATGGGATCGCAACCCTCGGTGTCGCACCCGTACCAGGGACCAGCAACGGGATCGCAACCCTTGGTGTTACGCCCGCACCGCGCTCAGCCAGTGAGCGGGAACCGGTCTCCACATGGGATCCAAACCCTCGGCGGGAGCGCCGCCACACTCCCAAGTGGCGCACTCTCCAGTGCGCCACCGGGCCGGCCCTTTCTGAGCTTTTTGAGAATAAGTTGGAGACCTTGTGTCCCTTTAGGCCTAAATTCTTTAGAGAGGTGTGTTTTCCCTAAGAACAAGGACATTATCTTACACAACCACAGTACAATGACCAGAATCAGTTTAACATCAATCCAGTACTATTGTCCAACCCACAGTCCATATCCAATTTTGTCAGTTTCTTCAATAATGCTCTTTATAACGATTTTTTTTTCCTGTCCCAGGAGCCAAAGCAGGATCATGAACTGTATTCGGCATCCAGTCTCTTTAGTCTCCCTTCTGCCAGGGGAGGGCCTCTGCCCCCTTCTGTGTTCCTTAATGTTGGCATCTTGAAGAGTATACATCTGACATTTCATCATGGCTAGACTCAGGCTGTGCTTTCTTGGCAGGAAAACCAGGGAGTGACATAGTGTCCTTCTCAGTGCATGGTGTCAGGAGGCATGTGATGTCAGTTTGTACCAACACCGGTGATGTTAACTTTGATCCCGTCCAACTCGGTTCTTTTGAACGGCTCAGTGTCCCCCAGCCTTGTCTTGGCCTTTGCAACTCCTTCCTTACCCATTCCAGTCTGTCTCCTCATCTGCTTCTGTCTCTCTCTCTGTCATGATCCCTCTCCATTTTTTGTCCCTGTCCCTGTGGTCCCTTCACCTTTGTGTCTGTCTCTCTCTTTATCTCTGGTTTCCTTTTCTCCCTGCTGCTGACTCCACCCTTGTGTTTGTCCTGTCTCACCCCTTCTCTCTCCAAAATACTGAAATGCCCATGAGTACAAGTGCCACTTGGACCAATCACCAAGGTAACCTACAGCTGAAGACCTCACTGGGTGCATCAGCTCGTTTGTGCTTCTTTCCTAAGAGGAGTCAAATAGAAACAAGGGAGTTCACTCTGGGAGCCAGACCTTGGTGGCATCATGGTCTACCCTCGGTGGGGTCTCAGGCTCCAGGAATTGATCTCCAGGCCCAGGAGAAAAGCAGGCTTCAGGGGAAAAGCATTCTGCAGGAGAGTCCCTCTCCCCACTGTCCGACTGCCTTCTCCCCACCTATAGGTCTCTTACATGGGAGTATGCACAGACCCCAAACTCCCATCTAGACCCAGGGCTGAGGTTCACTGTGGTTTGGCCAGAGCTGAGTAAATACTGTCCTTCTGCCAAGGCAGAGCCAACTCAAAGCTCTGAGGTCAGCAGGTTTCTTGCCACCTCAGAGAACTGGGCCTACAGCATCCTTCATCCCCACTTGGTGGTCACTGGACTGGAGGAAGCCCAGCCCTCATGTCTTCTCTTTGGGTTAGGCCCCAAACCACAGTCCAGAGCATATAAACCAGACCATGGCACTCTGAGAGCCACAGTGAGCCAATTGCTCACTGCTATGGCATTGAACCTTGAATTCTGTTATCAACATTCCTATTAATATACCCAATTTTATAGTAGGCAAATTGGTAAACACCACTCCTCACTGGAGAATGATCCCTCTTGGATGAAATCAGTAATTCACCTTGATGTTGGCTTTGGTCTTTTGGGCGCTCAGTTTCCCCATCTGTAGAGTGAGGGGCTTGGAATAGAAACTCCACAACTGCACTCTGTTCCAAGCTTCCAGGAGCCCTTGACTCCATCGTCAATGGGCCAACCCTTCTGGAAGGGCAGGTGGCTCCATCCATCCTGCATAGAGCTGAGCCTACACTGGCCCTGGTCATGATTACAATGATTATTCGGTGTGTT